GGAAGTCCTAGAGATGCTTGTAAGCTTCATAGGTCCATTAGTGGATTGAAGTAAGCATCATGGAGTAGAATCTTCGATTTACTGAGTTAATCAAATTGGTTGATAGTCTCATAAATGAAGAAACTTGTGCAGGCAAGAGGTTTTGTGGTAGCTATGTAGTCTTCTTGGTTTTAATTTGTATGTATGTGGATGACATACTTCTTACAAGATACGATGTTCCCATACTTGAATAGGTCAAGTAATGGCTAATGAATTGTTATTGTATGAAAGACCTTGAAGAATTAAATGAGTACATTTTGGGAATCAATATTTATAGAGATAGGTCTTGAAAGAGGATTGAACTTAATTGAGAAACTTATATCGATGAGATTCTCTCAAGGTTCAAACATGAAACTCCAAAAGAGGCTTCACTCCCATGTAACATAGCGCATCGCTTAGCAAGACTCGGTGCAAAGCAAAGACTGATGAGATTTAGCGAATGAGTGACATTCCTTGTGCATTTGCAAAGGATTCGTCATGTAAGCTATGCATTATACTCATTAAATGCACGTGTGCAATTTTCAATCGAATTCTGATATATGATATTGAAATTTATACACTTAAGAGTTTCCTAAAGTACGTTGAGAAGAACAAAAGGCAACGTCTAGGTATATGGATATAAACTATCATAAAAGAAAAGTTTGCAAAGTTCATATGGATGAGAATGTCTCAAAATTTGTTAACTAAACTATTTCAAAAGCCTAAATATGAAAGTCATAATAAGCTCGTTGGAAATTGAACATATTAGATGGCTTAAATTGTGTATTGGACACAGCTGCAAAACTATCAATTTTGTGCTCTCTATGTTTATCAATGTGAAACCAAGTTTCATAATTATTTAATCATGGTTTAGTATTAAATAAAATGTCCAAAATATTTAATGGAATTCAATGGGTATGTCAAATGCGTGATTTGATGAATGAAACTCCATAAATGAACTAAATTCATGGAATATTTCAGTTCCTAATCCAAGTCATTAAATTGGACATAAATGACTTATTAAAAGGATTAGCATATATGATTGATTGATAGCGCAGTTTCATGGGCTATGGGAACATAGAGATGTTCAGTCAATCATATGGATGTATATGGTTGATACATGATCGAACTGACCTACTTAGAAGTTCTGAAAACTTCGTAATTATATTAATGGATTCTTAAGACATGAGTGTAACACTACTTAGCTCGATGATTAGTGTAACTTTGATGCTGTCAAACGTCATGCCGTAAAAGGGGACTATATAAATAAAAGCAGTGCTCGGGTTGTGCTAAAAGTTGAGTGGGAGTTTTGGTTGCCACAAGATTGGAAAGGTCCTCCTATGTTAGATAGGATGGGTGTCTTGGCCTCTTGAGGAGTGAGGATTGGAAATGCATGGTCGTGCTCAAATGGATTATAAGATAATCATTTATTTAAACAATTTGAACTCGGATTTCAAGAAACAATTTGAGGACTTGTATGGATGCCATAGAGATGTAATCTTACTATTAAATTGGACACTAAGAGACTTAAGGAATTTGAAGATTGCACGCTTGTCTCAGACAAGTGGGAGATTGAAGGAAATGTGTCCTCGACTCTCGTGCAATTACTGAATATAATATGGATCGTATTATGGAGATAATAAGTTTGTTTAGTTGGGTTATCTTTACGTCTTGCTAGAGACCAATATTGATCATTGGTTTAAACCGATGCCAACTAAATAGATCCTATGAGGTCACACGTTACAGTGTTAGGTCGAATAAGGAAATTGAGTCCAAAAGTTGGGCTTAGTGGATAACCGGCCATAAGGAGTAGAAGGGACATAAGTCTTACCCTAATTAGATAATGTGATTATATAATTAAGGGTTTGGGGAAAAATATGCATAGGTTCATCTTTCACAAAAGAAACAACGTAATATTTTTCCCCTCCTCTCTCTCTACAACCAGTTAATTAGAAGTTCTTCATAGAAGAGGAGATTAATCTCTCCTGTCCAACTAGCATTGGTGGAGGTTTGATCTACGCTTGTGGACCAATAATAGAGGAGCAACAATTGGGGCTCTAATCTCTGCAACAAGGTTGAAGAAAGCTTGAGAATTCACGCATCAAAGGTTGATTCTAAACTATTATGTGATCCTTTATTTGTATATGCATGAGATCCTGTTTAGGTGCGTAAGAATGAGATTCACGAAATTTCTCTTAGAGTATCTAAAACCTTACAGTTATGACTGTATTTAATTAAGAATAAAAATTATGTTAAGAAATGGTAAAATTTGTTGTATATAAGAGTAAATTCAAATACTTTTAAGGTAACTTTAACATGTCTTACAATAAAAGTCCACCTTGTTCAAGAATTTGTCTTAGCACTAATATGTTGTCATTACACCATAAAAATATTACTAGTATCATCTTTTTGCACCTTGACAATGATAGTGGTTTTAACTTGCTCATTGCACCATAACCCTTGAAACCATAATAACTTAGGGCATGTTAATTCACCTTTTTTCGCTAATTTAATATGATCTAAAATTACTTTTTCTAAACTAATTGTCAAATTTGACTAAACTTTGACCTAATAAGTAAGTTAGCCTATAAGAAAAAAAAATATATAAGGGGTTTTGTTAGTTTTGTAATATGTATTTAATAAATATATAAAATTTTCACTTTTTTTACTATGATATTAAAAATATTTAGCGAAAAAAAAACCGTACATAAAATGATAAAATATATCAAAACTTTTTTTTTTTAATCTAATCTGGTAGATTTTTTTTTCCTGATCTGATCTAAAATAAATAAATAAATTAGATGAACTAAGCATAGTCAAAGTCAATATTTAGTTACTAATTGTACTTGGGTGAACGTTAACATTGGATTTAATACCGAGTCTTTAAGGGTGTGTTTTATTCACCTGAATTTTACTAATATGAATTTATTAAACTTTATCTGAACTTATTAACCCTAATCTGAACTTAAATAAATTTAGTAAACGTGAAATAAATGAAAATAAGGTGAACAAAATAAGCCATGAATCATCATTCGTCTTATTATAAGTTCAACAGGGCATTTTGCAAAGTGGTCATTCATATAAGACTTGATTAATATTAAATTAATTAATTTGATAAGTTTACGTTAATTTTTCTTAGGAGTATTTGAGCCTCGGTTAATTCAATATTATTCCAATTATTAGTTAAATTGATTTTTACAAAATAAGTTGTAGCAAAATAGCAAATATAGCTTGAATGTATTAAAAGCTAAATGTATTGAGGAAATAATTTACAAGTAATCATCAACAATACAACAACAGATGAGAAATTGTCGGGTTTATTTTTTCTTTGAATTTTTTTATTTTTTTGGGTTTTTCTAAGCTATGCCCCCGTGGTTATTAAGTTTCTAAGGTGTGCGCATGCTTTTTCAAAATTACAAGATATACCCTTCAACTTAAGGTGTTTATTCAACCGTACCCTATAACGTTAATCCAACGTTAGTAGTTGTATTCATGGTTTATTACAACACTTTGGAGAAAAATTTCACGCCCAAATTGGGTTAGAGTTATATAAGTAGGTTAACATTTAGCATTTTTTCCAAATTTTATCATCTATTTTTCTTCTAAAAGCAACCATTGATATGTCAAGCTCTCGGTGTATTTCTTATTCTTTTTTCTCATCCGCTTCTTATTACTTCCTATTTATTTACAATTGTTAACGTCGAGTTTACGTCAGAGGGTACGGTTGATTAAACAACTTAAGTTGGAGGGCACAACTTGTAATTTTGAAAAGGCATGGACACACCTTAGAAACTCAACAACCTTGAGGGCATAGCTTAGAAAAACCCTTTTTTTTTTCTAAATTTTTGTGTATAGACTTTAAGGGTCACATATTCTATCAAGGGGTTTAAAAACATAAAATACAACTCTAAATGAAGAGAAGCACTGATCAGAAAAGTTTTAGATATCCAGAAATTTTCAGATCGAATAATATCTAATAATAACCGAAAATACTACGAAGGTTATCCGGAGTACTCCGTAGTTATTTTAATTTTGAAATTTCTATCTTTTTATAAAGAAAACATGACCAATATCCAAAATATTGGATATGTGGATCGGATATCCGAAAAATTCAAAAATCCAAAAATTGATATCAGAATAGGTACCCAATATCCAAAATCGATATCCAATCAATTATTAATCGAATATTCGACTACTCGGATCTTTGGATAGTTTTGCTCGGTCCCCTCTAAATAAAAAAGTGAGTTGATTATCAAGATCACAAGAACAAATAAATATACCAGGCACAAGGTATTACAAGATGTATTTTTACTTAGGTCTTGTTTGGTTGACAATATAAAATGAGGGAAGTGGAAATTCATGGGATTTGATAAATTGAGGAGTTGTTTGGTTGACACAAAAAAAAAAAACAAAAATGAGGGAAGTGAAAATTCATGCGAATTTCAACTTCCCACAAAATAAGGGAAGTAAATTACCTAGCCCTCCCTAGGTCAATCAAAATTCATGAGATTTTTAAATTCTCATATTGCCAACTAAACAAATTTAGGAAATTCCCAGGAATTTCATTAGGAAAATAACTTTCCATAAAATGCAATTTTATATGAGAATTTAATTTTCATGTCAGCTAAACAAGACCTTATTTTTCCCTTTATTTATTTAACTCTTAGAAGTTTATCTCGTTGCTAAATTACACAGTACACTATACACATGCCTAGTGGACAAAGTTTACAAAAAGAGCTGAATACACTACGGAGTAGCACTTTACTACACGCAAATTGAAGAAAATTTACTACGGAGTACTCCACTCGTACTTTATTACGAGTAGTAATTACTACACGCAATTTCCAGGAATTGCGCATTCAACTACTCGTACTTTCTGTCAAAAAAAAAAAAAAAAAAAAAAAAAAAACTCGTACTTTAAACTGCGAGTTGTAGTCAGTCCAAGTACTACCATAATAGTACAACTCGTATAAATGTACAGTACTGTATAATACATAAGCTGATTTATCCATTTGCAACAAACCACACAAAAATGTGCGGCATTTTTTGTCATTTTCCCCATTTTATCTGCTTTTTCTGTATTAAACTTTTCCTCCAACAAACCATGTGAAAACTTCTCTGGTATTTCACAAAAACCATCAACTTTTTCCCACTGAATTTCTCAACCGCCTTATTTTGTTACAACTATATAAATACCACTCTTCACTTATCAAATCATTCAACCAAATCATAAACAAAAACATCATAAAAACACTCAGAAAAATCTTACTCAAAACTCTCTGATTTTAGTTCATCAAATTCTCAAAACAAAAGATGAGTTCGTCAGCTGGAATGAAGTGGGCAGTAGCAGCAAGTATTGCAGCAGTAGAAGCATTGAAAGATCAAGGAATTGCAAGATGGAATTACCCAATTAGATGTGTTCATCAACATTTGAAGAGTAATATTAGATCTTATTCTCAAGCGAAGAAGTTATCTTCTAATTCTTCTGCTATGGTTTCTAAGAAGATGAAAGATGAGAAGTTGAAACAATCTGAAGAGTCTCTTAGGACTGTTATGTACCTCAGTTGCTGGGGTCCTAATTAGTTTCTTAATTTTCTTTTTGTTGTTGTTGTAGTATTTTTGTATATACTACATCGAGTCGTACCGAGCGTGGCTTGACTCACTTGGTACGTTTCTTATGAAGTTCGAATCTTGCCAAGTGAGGGTGTCTGAGGGTAGTATCCCCTTATGTTTCAATCAGTCTCAAGTGGCTCGCTTGCAAATGTGGTTTTAAGGAACTGTAATGGTTGAGATCTGATCAAGCCCAAAAAAAAAAAAATGACAATACCCGAGCCATACTCGGCTTTGAAATGTAGTCCGAGTTATGTTTGGTTTTTATAAATTTATGTATACTGTATGAAAAAACAAGGGTTCATCTATAAATTTCTGTTCTTGAAGCTTTACTTGTTGCACTTGCACATTTTTTTCTTTTTATTCTCTGTTTCTTATTATTTTTAACTTTTTTAATGTCACTTTTTTTTATTTGTTGGGATTCAAGAATCTAAATTTATGCGATACTCTTATCAAATTTAGAGTTGGTCTCCTGGTTTATGCGCTAACACTTTTATCTTTTATGCAACTATTGACAGTGTTTACTTGTATGGATGTTCATCAGCCCAAGTCCAACTGGACCGAATTAGACGAACAACAAAAGATTGATACAAAATAAAATTAAATTTCACAATTAAATTCCTGATAATTGGACAATCGGACTAAATTGGAGTTGGCTAGATTGATTTGACCGGTTAGAATAATTTTTTTATTAATCTGGACTGATTTATAAACATAAACATCCATAAATTCAAAGACTTAAGATTCTAAGAAAATAGGATAATAAACACAAATTTACATAACAAAAACCAAAAAAATTTAGTTAGACATGTAAATACTAAAATTGACACGAACACATGAACTTGTCAATAAGAGATTAAAGGAAAAGGCCTGGAAAATTCTAGAGAGTGCATATCCACCGACTCATGCGTGCGCGCTTGATTGCCTAAACTTATACAACTATGATGGTTACTTTGTTCTTTTGAAACCTTTATTTTATCAATAAACCTAAAAAATAATCATAATATAATTTGACTACTAACACAAGATTAGATTATACATGGCATCAAATATGCCTTATTCACTCCTTTCTAGCTACCTGGCCACTCCTAATCCATCAACATCAATCCCAATTCTAGATGAGAAAAGTGTACAACGAAACCATACGTAAAATGCTACTGCCTTAACTTTGATCCACCAAGGAGTTAACATGACAATCTTTCCAAGAATTATGGCTGCCACAACGGCCAACGAGGCGTGGAGAATTTTGGAACACGAGCTTAAGGGTTCTCGAGAGGAAATTACTAAGAAACTTCAAACTTTATGGAGCAAGTTTGATGATTTGGTGATGTCAAAATGTGAAACAACTCATTAGTGCTTTGGTCGTGTTACACGTATTGTTAACCAAATTAGATTTTATGAGGATGTCATCGAAGAAAGGCAAGTTGTGAAGAAGATATTTGATGACATAGTAGCTATAATTGTTGATGATTAGGTGACTCGAATCTTACAGCTTATCTCTGCCCGACCGGGCATGCTATGCCCTGGAAGACCGGGCGGAGAGGATATGTGTGCAATGTATCTTGCAATCCCCACTGCCCGATCGGGCATTTCATGCCCTGGCAGACCGGGCGGCCATGCCTTGGCAGACAGGGCGGTGAGGGTAGGTAGTGCAAAATGTCTCGTATTGGATGTTGCTTCGCGCGCCCGACCGGGCATGCCATGCCCGGTCTGACCGGGCGGAAGAAGATTTCGATAGAGATACGGATTCTACGGTTTTTTTAGAGTTATCTTTTATTATCTTGAAGCCCAAGTATCTTTTAATTAGGGATTAATATAAAAACTTCCTGATATTAGTGCTAGGGTTACGAGAGACAAAGAGAGAGCCATTCTTGAAAAAGACTTGATTCATCATTGTAATTCTTTGCAGTTTATAGTGAAATCTTTGATCTCGGTGCCCGTGGACGTAGCTATCACATTGATAGTGAACCACGTTAATTCTTGGTGTTGTTCTTATTGTTTGCATTGAATTTCTTTGTTGTTTCTTTATTGTTTTCGATCTTTGCTTCTGCTGCCGCACAAAAACTAGTATCAAGAGCTCAGGTTTAATCCTTGGAGATTTTTTGTAGGGAAACAATGGCAGGAGATTCAACAATAAGAATTGAGAAGTTTACCGGGAAAAATAGTTTTGGGCTATGGAAAATTAAGATGAAGGCTCTGTTAAAACAACAACAGATATGGCGTCCGTTGGCTCCAAAGAGTACTTCTTTGGGGTCAGGAGACGGGCTGACTGACTTGCACTTAGAAGTTATGGAAGAGAAGGCTCACTCTACCATATTACTTAGCCTTGATGATCACATCATCACAGAGGTTGCTGATTAGGGAATGGCGGCTGAATTGTGGATGAAGCTGGAGTCATTATACATGACTAAGTCGTTGACCAACGAATTATTAATGAAGCAGCGGTTTTTTAGCCTCCGAATGCAGTCAAGTACTCCCTTACGCGAACATCTAGAAAAACTTAACTCTATTTTACTTGATTTGCGTAATTTAGATGTTAAAATTGATGATGAGGATGCTGCGTTGATATTACTTGTGTCTCTACCGTCTAGCTTTGAGAATTTTGTAGAGTCTTTTGTTGTTGGTAAAGAATCACTAACCTTAGAAGAAGTGAAGGCATCACTTCATACTAGGGAACTTCATTAGAAAGCTATAGGAGATAATGGGGATAATGGTAGTGGGTTGTTTGTTAAGTCCGAGAAGTCTAAAAAGAAAAAGGGGTTTAACAAAAGGAACAATGCTGGGTCGGGTGCTGGAAACGACATGGAGGGATCTGGTAAAACTGCTACTAAGACCTGTTATTACTATAAAGAACCGAGTCACTGTAGGGCTAATTGTCCAGTGAGGAAAAACAAGCCCCAAGCTGCTGTAGTCGAAGAAAAACCGAAAGAGATCTATAATTCAGAGGAAGACTTAGCATTAGTCAGTTCTGCTAGGTCTGGCGATTTATCTGATAGTTAGGCTCTAGATTCGGGGTGTTCGTTCCATATGAGTCCACGTCGAGATTGGTTTGATACATATGAGCCTCGCAATGGGGGTACGGTTATAGTTGGTAACAATGCTCCTTGTAAGGTCACAGGTATTGGGTCCATGAGTTTGAGGACTGTTGATGGGCGGAGGTTAACTTTGACTAGGGTGCGGCATGTTCCTGCTTTAGGAAAGAATCTGATTTCATTGGGTACCCTGGATGATTTGGGGTACAATGGTGTGTTTTCGGATGGGGAGTTGTGCATTTATAGAGGTTCTGAGTTGGTACTTAAGGGTATCAAGAGGAACACCCTCTATGTCTTTGAGGGTGTTACACTGTCTAGTTCTGCGGTTTGTGCATCGGTGTCTCACCAGGAGATGACTAAGATTTGGCACATGAGGCTTAGTCATATGGGGGAGAAGGGGATGCAGCTATTGTCTAAGAGGGGTCTTCTATCCGGAGTCAAGGTTGCCAACCTTGAATTTTGTGAGCATTGTGTGTTTAGTAAGAAACACAGGTCAAAGTTCAGCAAGGGTGCTCACATTACTGATGCTGTGCTCGATTACATCCATTCAGATTGCCAGGGTCCATCTAGAGTTGAAGGTATGGGAGGTTACCACTATTTTGTGTCATTTGTTGATGACAAGTCCCGATAAACATGGCTTAGGTTGCTTAAGTCAAAGGATGAGGCCTTCAAAGCTTTCAAGCAATGGAAAGCTTTGGTGGAAAATTGACAAGGAAAGAAGATAAAGAAGCTACGAACGGACAATGGGCTAGAGTTTTGCAAAGACGAGTTTAATCAGTTCTTTGCAGATGAGGGTATAGGTCGGCATCATACCGTCAGGAAGACACCACAGCAGAACGGTGTTGCAGAACGGGTTAATCAGACACTGCTAGAGAGAGTTCGATGCATGCTCTCTAATACAGGTCTTGGGAGGAGGTACTGGAGTGAAGCTGTGTTGACAGCTTGTTATGTCATTAATAGGGGTCCTCATTCGGGAATTGACTTCAAGATTCCTTTTGAGATCTGGAGTGGTAAGTTGCCTAATTTTTCAAATTTGAAGATTTTTTGTTGTGTTGCTTATTATCATGTTAGTGAGGGAAAGCTGGATCCACGAGCCAAGAAGGGGTGTTTTGTTGGGTACGGGGATGGTGTGAAGGGGTTTAGGATCTATTCACCTTCGGAGGGTTGGGTCATCCTTAGTAGGGATGTTACTTTCGATGAGAGCACCATGTATTCAACTAAAAATACGGAGACTTCTGATTTGGGAAAGGAAGGGGAGAACTTATTACAGACAGATGGGGTGCTTGAGGTACATCAGTCTACCATTGTTGATTTACCTCGAGTACAATATATTGATGATGATGCTGATGTTTTAGTGCCAGGTACTCCTGAACCTGAGATTACTCCAACTCATTCTAACTCTAGGGAGGAGGTGGAGCAATTTAATCAGGGGTCATCTAGTCAACCTTACACCATTCTTGAGATGCCTAAACGAGTTATCAAGAAGCCTGTTAGATTGATTCAAGAGATGAAGGGAAGGACTTGCTGTGTTGATGAGTTAACAGGTTATGCATTAAGTGTAGCTGATGATGTAGAGTCATTTGAACCTGCCACATATAAACAAGCAATTAGTTGTAGTGAGTCGGCGCAATGGCTTGTTGCAATGGGTGAAGAGATGCAGTCTCTTTACAAGAATAGAGTGTGGGAACTGGTAAAGATACCGGAAGGGAGGAAGCTTGTGGGGGTGTAAGTGGATTTACAAGAAGAAAGAAGGGTTATTAGAAACTGAGCAAGTGCGTTTTAAGGCTAGACTAGTTGCTAAGGGGTTCAATCAAGTAGAAGGGGTCGACTTTGTGGAGATATTCTCACCTGTGGTTCGACACACTTCTATCCGTGTGTTATTGTCAATTGTAGCACACTTTGATCTTAAGCTGGAGCAGCTGGATGTTAAAACGACTTTCCTTCATGGTGATTTGGAGGAGGAGATTCTGATGAAGCAGCCCGAGGGATTCGAGGTTCCTGGAAAGGAACACTATGCCTGCAGATAGTTAAAGTCATTGTATGGACTTAAGCAATCCCCCCGACAGTGGTACAAGAGGTTTGATTCTTTTATGGTTTCGCATGGTTTTGATAGGAATTCATATTATTGTTGTGTGTATCATAGTAAGCTCGATAATGGTTCAATGATTTATCTTTTGTTATATGTTGATGACATGCTGGTTGCCACAAAGAATAAATCTGATATTGCTAGATTAAAGGAGATGCTTAACTCTGAGTTTGACATGAAAGACTTAGGTGCAGCTAGGAAGATTTTGGGTATG